TCCTCTCCCCCTTCTCCCTCTTCATTTTTATCTTCAGAATCTCCTTCTTTGGTGACAACAGTACTTCCAAAGAAGGAGATTCTGAAGATAAAAATGAAGAGGGAGAAGGGGGAGAGGAAGAGGAAGAAATGAGTGCAGCAAGCGTTAGTGATATTTGATGTTTACGAAATTCTTTGATCCACATATTTCAATTGACAAAGTTGCCTATCACTTTAGTTGTTCTATGAAACGGTAAAAGAAAAAGCCGATCTCACTCAGGTCTCTGGAGAAGGAATTGTATTATTTCAAGATGTGCTTTTACTTACGCCACGGTACGGATTTTCTTTCAAGATAATTCATGAATTCATTTGATCGCATTCACAATTGATTTGCTTCATTTCATAGTGGTCGGTACGACATTGAAATATTTCCAACATTCTTTCGACTGCGTGGTAAAACATATGATTATAAAATTCAGCAAACGAGTGTCGGAAACTTATTTTTATTACCGAAACTCGATGATCTTCATGAAATGTTTGTTGTAAGTGTTTCTCAAGTTGATCGCTCCGCAGTTTTTCAAATTCTAACGAAATTTCATGTTAAAATCAGATTGGCCTTGACCCTCCATTAAGACAAGGTCAAACGCTTTATCATTTTTTGGTATTGCAGTTTAAAAAGGAAGAAGAAAAGGAGATCCAGCTAAATCTTGATGAGTTTGTATCGCATATTTTAGGCATAATAATGTTTTTGAATTTAATGTTAGACTAACCAATTGCGATTGATCAAATACCAAATCTAATGAATTCAATACAGCGAAACTGTTCAGAAGGAATATGGTGGAAAACTTGAACCTCAATATGAAGCACCCGTATATGAGGTCTTTAGTAACGTTTTTCATGTACTGGCCAAAAAAAAGATAATCAAGCCATCAGGCTTTAAAAGGTAAACCTAGAATGATCATTCATGTTATTAAGTAAATATCTTTATTGCTATTGATGCATTCTGTTCTGAATACAGTCAGCATGATGAAGTAGCGGTCAAATGCTCCCTGAAGGCTAATGAAGGATACTTATACCCACTTGAGAAATGTTTCCTGTTCATTCCTAAGCCACCAACACTAATAAAAAATGGTGACATAGATAAAGTAGTTTTTTCCAGGTATATATTGTTCACTTTTCTATTAATTGGTGAACTTTGGGTCGAATTAGCTCATGCGCTTTCAACTCGTGTTTAGAGTGTCTATGACAGGTAACGCTGGAAAAGGTGCGCTTACGACATCCAGGACCTTTGACGTGAAGTTTTGTATGAAAAGTAGTTTAGAATATCAGTTTTCTAGTATAAACAGGTAATTGTATTGTAGATGAGGACTTAATTGTTTAAGCTTAATTAAATAAGTAACTTGATAGATCTTTTTTTTTTTTTTTTTAGAGAAGAATTTGATCATCTGGACAGTTACTTTCATAGTAAGAATATAAGAACAGAGAATGATACCGAAGATAAAGTATGTGTGATGATGCGGGAACTAATGTGTTGGAACATTTAACTCATCTCTTACTTGTTACTAGGGTCAACAAGTTCTTGACGATTATAGTGAATACTTCGGTGGAGATTCCGATGATGACTTGAAACGCGATTCAAAGCGAAACGATGAAGATTCTGAAACCGGTAAATATCGCTGCTCCTGGTCTTTCTTTGCAAAATTGATACGTTCTGACTTTTCCTTGCTAATATAGTGGATGAGGATTTCGTTGATGAAGATTCCGAAAGCGATGTAGCTGAAGAATACGACGAGAACTATTCAGGAGTTGGATCTTCCACGGAGGAAGAAGAATTGCCAAAGAAAAAAGTTAAGGTGTCCAAGTCGAAATCGGCGAAAGCTTAGATTGATCGTTTGAGCTACAAATCTGACAGTATATCAGATGAAAACTTAATGCAACATCAAGTGTGATTTCTTTATCCATAATGATATACAGTATGTTGGGTATATGAGTTCCTACTTTGTACCTTTGCACTATATCATTGGATATTTCTTTCCTGTTTGAAATTTTCCTTCTGGTTATTTTATTATTACTGTGAGAGTAACAAACATTGACTCGTGATCATTCAACAAGATATACTATTGTGGTTTATGCGATCAAATATTGCTACGAGTTAATTGTCCTAATAATTTTAACTGCAAACTTGATCATTTCAGAATAAATGAATTAAACAACTTATAATGCACTGGCGGACTCTATTTTATGCATTACGTAACATGCTATGCACGATAATCCGTAGAGCTTTACTAACCTGAAAATTTTTTCTTGGTGTTTAATCGATAAGTTTTACTTGTATAACAAAATATTGATATCCCGAGTTTTATCAAAATCTTATTGATCATTGATCATTACACGTATAAAATTGAAATTTTTTAATTATTTGTAGTTTATTTGATTGATGGCTTAAGAATTCGACTTTTAAATGACAAAATATCACGAATATTTTTTAAATTAAAGATAGTCGGAGTTCATCAATCCTGTTTTTTCAATAAAAGGTAATAAAAAATTTTGTTTTTTATTGAAAATTTAAAAATAAAATATTTAATTAAAAAAATGTATGCTTCTTATTTTATTTTATAAGAGTATATATATTTTTACTAATAAAAGTAAATAAAATGAATATATAAGAATAATATATACAATTTGAAATTACTTAATATATTTTTATTGCAATTTCAATTTTAATAATTTTTAAATTCATAATTACTATTGTCAAAGAATTTTTTTTTCTTTGTTAATTGTCATAAAATTTTTAATAAATTATTTTAAAAAAAATAAGTAATTGATTTGTTAGCTATTATGGATATTGCTATATAACTTTTTAAATAATTATAATTTTATTAATTTTATAATATATTTAATATAATTTAAAATTTATAAACAAATCTTTCTTTAATAAATTAATAACTTATTGATATTTATTCAAAATTATATGGCAATTAACAAAGAAAAGAATTCTTTTTTTTTTTTAAATCCACAGTCAAATCAGCATAGTGTGTTTATTAATCTTTAAGAAAACTACTAGAGATACATTGAACAATTATATCATAGTTAAACTAAATCTCATGCTAACTCACTTGTCAATAGTTTTCAATTTTCAAATGAGCTTAAGCCTTTAAGTGCAACATTGAGGATAATATTTTGCTCTGAAATAAGTTTTAAATAAAGATCCTCTTAACTTATTCATCATTGTCAGCAGATTATCACTATCTATTATTCTTCAAGAAACTGATTTCGAGAAACTACAATAGGAAAAAGAAAAAATAAAAGAAAGGGGAATATCTAAAAATATACAAATGTATTACATGAAAAGAAAATAAAAAAAGAAAATAAAAGTGCTCCATGTTCTTCAAAAAACTTCTGCTAGAAACCTTCTTTCATTAAGAGTCAACCTTTTTAAAATATTCTTTTTCTTCCTGACTGTCTGAAGAACTTATCTATTCATGATCTGATTATTTTCTTGCAATTGTCTAAGGTACTTATTATCTAATCAAATTTAGTATCTTGCTTATCACTTCCTTTCTTTTGATCTTGATTTTGTATTTACCCATGTCAAATTATAACTTATGATGAACTCCAAATTCTTATGTGACTTTTTAGTCATATTATATAATTACCAATATTCTTCAGCAGCTACATTTAGTTAAAAAAATTTTACTGGTGAGCATCTTTCATTGCTCAAAAAATCAGATTCCTCAACAGTCTTTTTGCCTTGCAATAATAGGAGGATTTTGTACAATGTGAAGATTCTCGTCAATTATGATAGCATTACATAATATTTAAGAAAATGCATTCTCAATTCTAAAGAAAGATAGTGACTCATATTCTTTTGCTTTTCAATCTTATTGTCTAATCGAAATAAGGAAATAATCTTTTTTACATATTTTGTCTAATTGGGATAATAAGAAGTTGAAGACTTCAGCTTGAACAAATAACCACCTTTTCATCATCTAAGAAATGTAGTACCTGCCTTAATAGTCTTATGATTTCTTTGCTTCAATTACACTTTATTTGAAGGAATGAAAAATCCACATCAATAGATTCTCTTTCTTTTACCAATGATATCATCAAAATATGTGAAGTAATCAGTAGGTAATAATGGATTCCTAAAGTATTTAGTATATAAAAATTTGCAGATCACTTATGTCCTTTTTTGAGGGACAAAATTCATAACTCTTCACTTCAATAGGAATAAAAATCAGGAAATGCTATAAATTAATGATTTGGATAATAGAGAATAATTGTAAATAATTTTTTGGCAATAAAAAAAAACTCTTTCCCATAACCCCCTTTTTTCTTAAAAATTTCTTTATAAGGAAATTTTCCCAAGGAAAAAAGTAAACAACGAGAGATAGTAGTTTTAAAGACCAAACATAATATGGTGAA